GGTTGTGAAAACTGCAAAATTATTTTTTAAAGATTTTTAATTGTGGTAATATACACATAACATAAAATTTGCCATTTTAACCATTTTTAAGTGTACAGTTTAGTAGTGTTAAGTTTATTCACACTGTTGTGCAACCAATCTCTGGAACTTTTTGCACAACTGAAAATATATATCCATGAAACAAATCTCTCCATTTCCCCTTTCCCCAACCCCTGACAACCACCTTTCTACTTTCTGTTTCTATGCATTTGACTACTCTAGATACTTCATATAAGTGGAATCATACAGTATCTTTGCTACGAGATTATTCTACTTAGCATAATGTACTCAAGGGTCGTCCATGTTGTAGCATGTGTCAGAAGTTCCTTCCTTTTAAAGGCTGAATTGTATTCATTGTATGTATATACCATACACTTTTTAGCCCTTCATCCATTGATGTACACTTGGATTTCTTCCACCTTTCGGCGATTGTACATAGTGCTGCTATGAACATGAGTGTGCCAATATCCCTTTGAGACCCTGCTTTCAATTCTGTAGGCTGTATACCCAGAAGTGGAATTGCTGGATCATATGGTAATTCTGTTTTTAATTTTTTGTGGAACCACCACACTGTTTTCCAAGGAGCTACACCATTTTACTTTCCCATCAACAAAGCACAAGGATTCCAGTCTCTTCATATCCTTGCCAACCCATGTTATTTTTGTTTAGTTTTGTTTTGTTTTTGATAATAACCATGCTAACAGGTGTGAGATATCACTGTAGTTTTAATTTGCCTTTCCCTAATAATTAGTGTTACTGAGCATCTTTTTATATGATTGTTAGTGCAAAATGACTTTATCAACCTTCTTTAATCTGATAAGGTAAAAATGTCCCTCACACACAATGACATTGAGAGAAATCCTGGTAAACTTTGGTAAGGTACAATGCTATGAAACACTATCCAAAGTTCAAAATATTGAAGTATTAGTATTCTGTTATAGTTTCCAGTTAGTCAAGAGCATCACTTAAAAACAACTCCACTAATATTGATTAATCTTTCATCCTTTGTTCTGTTAGATTTTTCTTATCTCAGAGTTTACTTGTCTTAAAAATTCTGTCAAATAGCTATAAGCTTCTTTTTTTCAAATGTTTTATTACAAGTCACCAGAAAAATGTATATTATCCCTCTCTCACAAGATGGAACGAAGACATAAATACACTATCCTAAAGAGGAACGTTATGTATCCAGAAGCTACAGTAAACTGTTTCTCTTATCAAGGTCTCTGTGATTTCTGTAATGTGATAGTTAGGCTTTTTTATTCAACAGCATTTACTGAATACCTACTCTGCCTTAGGCACTAGAAACCCAAAGATAAAATGGACAATTTCTGACCTTAAATATCTCACAATCTAGCGGTAAGAACAGACAAGAAGATCTGCAAGTTTAACACAGAAGGAATGCCACGTATTGACATTGAGAGCAGTTCGTCCAAGGTCTTATGGGAGGATAGAGAAAAATAATGAGGTGGAACCCAGAACACAGCACGGAGGAGTTGTTAGATACGACGAGGAAGGGAAATGAGCTGGATAATAAGGGCACCTTGGAAGTATTTAAAGACATCAAAGATGTAATTCAAGTTTTTCTGTAAATACTTATAAATTCATCCTCAGTTCACCTTATCCTTCTTTTTGCAATTGATAATTTTGGTCCACCTACTTGTATCTCAACAAGTTGCTTGAATGGATTGATGTTGTAAAAATGTAAGTACTTTACTCATTATTGCTTGCATTTTACAAAAGTAAAATGTAAGTACTTTACTCATTATTGCTTGCATTTTACAAACACATGGTGATGATTTAGCTGCCTGGTTTTACAACCATGATCTTACAATGTCATATTCTATATAATTTACTTTGCACTAGATTGGTATTTCATTTTTGTACCAAAAGAGGAAAATTTATAGTTCATAAAATAGTTTCATGTCATGTTAAAAGTTTTAAGATGTTCTTTCACTCATTTTTATCTCACTGCCAAAGCACTAATTTCCTTGGGAATTTATATTCTCATATTTATTGAATTCAAAAACATTGATTAGAAGTGCTGATGTGAAGAAGGAGAATTCTCCTTGATATTTGAGTTCATGGCTTGATTGTTTTAAATTAGCCTCAAAGGTGAAGGTGCTCCTTCAGGTGTTTGTGCTTGAGTTAAGAAAGCTCCTGGGTGAAAATTTTCAGGTTCTGGTGGCATTTGACTGGAATTAAGGTCAAATATTTTCAGATTTGATGTTGTCTGATGAAACTGTCAAGCACAGTTCTGTCATTCTACACCTGAGCACACTGAGACACACATAACTCAAGTAATTTGACCAAGAAAATACAATTACAGTGATAAATTGCAATATAACCACACACTCGAAAAAGTCTTCCACTTAGTCCAAGTGAATTTAGTTACAAGAACTGATGGAAGTGTTGTGCCTTCTTTGGGGGACATTAAAAATGGTTAATTTTTTAAAAATGCATATTAAACACTTGTATGACTCTACTTTCACTTCTGGCATATGCAGTTTGCTTGCCACTGTACTAAATAAATCAAATAGAAGGAAACACATTTATTTAGAACTTCCTTAGAATTGAAGGTTTAAATAAATTGAAATGCATGCAATAAAAGAGAAGGGAATGCATATGTAGACAAAAACTTTCAACAGAACTAATACAAAAATTAGAGATGTAGCTTTTTTTGAGTTTTGTTTTTTTTTTTTAAGTGCCATGTTCTCTCTCTTCTTTTCACATTTCTGGTTATAAAGGCAGTTATATTCTAATTCTCTTGTTTTCATGGTTGTTGGGTTGATGTTAGACCTTCCTTTAGCAGTCTCAGTTCTTAAGGGAAATGAGAGAAAACCCAGTTATTTGAGTTCTTCAGTTCCGCTTTTTTATTTTTGTTGGGAGGCATACCCCTGGAGAGGGCCATTCAACCTTCACACCTCTTTATTCTCTCTCTTTTAAACATTTCTATTGAAAGCTTATAATATATTTTTTAAATGTTCTTCCTTGGTTGGTGTGAAAAATATGCATTGCATTATGAGAGTCTGGATTGGACAGCCACTTTAATTGAAATCTCCTTTACATGGCTGTGGACTTATCTTTGTTGTTTGTTTTGAATTTTTTAAAAGACTTAATTTTTTTGTAGCAATTTATGTTCCCAGGACTTGTCTTGTTTGAGTTAATAAAAATAAAAAGAATAAAAGGAACTAACATATACTGAGTACTGATGTGCTGAGCTGTGATGTGCCTTACGTACATTCTCCCACTTCATAGAGGTATCGCTTGGATTAAATAGGAGAATATGCACACCTAGCACTGCACTATGCACCTTGTCACCCTAAGCACAGAGCACAGTACTTTCTGCATGGTAGAATTCTCACTGAAAGTTGAATTGAATGACACTCAATAATAAATACTCACTGTTACAGTAAGAAATTAAGAAATCATTTCTACATTAGAAGAATAAATACAACCCTAAGGCATTAATTTGCTAATTATTCTTCCCCATGAAGAATATAATCTGGTAATCAATCTTATATATCTTATATGCTATACAAACATTTCCAATTTTCATATATTATTAAACTTAACCTCTGTGATATTCAGGTAACATTAAAATGGGAAAATGCAATAATATCATGAATAACCCTTTGACATAATATGGTGAACTAAGTGAAATATGATGAGTTACTTTTATTTGGAAAAACACAATGTTACTGTATTTCGACTCAAGGGTATTAACATTTTTAGTATTAGCATTAATTTGTTTTCTTTTAATCATGTAATTATTACATTTATTTTCCTTAGTAAAATGGAAAAACATCCCAATTGCCTAATGATGTGTTCTTAGGGTCTTAATGTGTAATATCATTAGGTTTCTGGTTTTCAGCTGGTAAAAATTTATGAAGGCAGTATTTGTTTATCTTGGGAGAATTTTGCTTATGCATTTTAAAGATATATTTACCATTTTCCTCAGGTGATTTGTACCAATATTTGTCCTATGGTATCATAGCAATTAAAGTTTTTCACTTTGCAATCTTATGCAGTCCAGATAGATTTAGTCTGTTTTTCCAAAAACATTAATAGACTACCTGCTGTATGTTTTCTCAAAAAACATTTTCTGTTCTTCAACTTTGGAAGAATGTGTTTATATAGAGAAAGTGTATGAATCAATATGAGATGTGTTTTATACTTTTCAAAAATATTGACTTGAACTTTGATGCTAAGCATTCTCAAGAGGCAGCTTTGTTGTGTTATTTGTTTTAATATTTAAGCAAATAAAAATAGCTATTTGTGATACTAACTATAGTATTTCTAAGAAAACATCCGAGCTTCATGCCCTCTTTTGTAATTCTGCCTCATCCTCTTTATCCACATGAAATATTAAATTAAAATGTTAGCAGTTGGCTAGATCTTCCGTAGAATAATGCAATGAAGAGACAGCTTTGATAGTTATTTTTATTCCAATATGTGAAGAAAATTGATAATAACAAAAAACTAACATTTGAATTTCATACTTTACAGTGGCTTTCAAATATATTTTCTTTGAATTTGGCTTTTACAACTCTCTCGTTGGTAGTTATTAACTCAATTTAAAGGGTTTGTAGGAGTTTTAAAGATTTGTAGGAGTGAGGCAAGTCCAAGTTCATGTAGTTAGGAGAGCCACAAATTAAACTTGAGAGCTCTGATCACAAGCCTTGTTATAGTTCCACTGCACTTTCCATGATTGGATGCCATGAAATGAGAAAAATAAAGTAGAATAAGCACTTCTAAAGTAATTTAAATTACAAGATATTTAAACCTTTCTCTTTTAGTATGTGTACTGAAATTATCAACCTTTCCTGGTTAAAGAGATTTTTTGAGTGTGACAAGGAGAGATAATAACCTAAAGGAGTCCTTCAAATTGGTCACCTTGGAAATGATAGAGAAATGAATTGAGACTGTTTTTTCAACATATGAATCCTTTCCTTTGTTCACAGCTGCAAACATTTTTTGAGACATTCCTGAGGGCCAGTTCATCTCTTCAGGCTTTTGATAATATGAAGGAAGCAATTAGCAAACTTTTGCTAGCAGCCGAAGTATTCAGTGAAACATCTACTCGGGGACCAAAGACCTTCAATAGGTAAAAACAAATTTTAATTAAAAAGGAAAAAGAAAAACTTATCTTCTAAAAATTGGTGGTGAAAATATATTTTAATTATCACCAGTAAGTGGTACTTGGAAAATTTTATGTCAATATACAAAGATGATGTTCTAAACATATGTGACTTAATTTGTAGATTTTAAAACTTCAGAACATGTTACAGACTTGTTAGTATCTATATAGTCACAAGAAATAAAGCACAAGTTTTTAAAATTAATTTTTAAATTGCAGTTTTTTGTTCAAACTCAGCTATTTCTATTATATATACTTAGTATTGACTAGGTATAATTTTACTTAATGAACTTATGAATAATAAATTTTTGTTCTCAAATATCCCATTGATTTCATAATGCAAGGATGGAAACAAAGACCTTTATTAAAAATATTCAATAACTCCTATCCCTATATCTCAGTTACTTGATTATAATTTATTGATTTTATCTTAAGGAAATATTAAATCTAGTATGTAAAAAAAGGGACGGCACCTCAATTTAAACTTTACTATATTTTGTATATTAATAAGTGCCTAGCATGTAGGACTAGGAGAGTTTTCTTCTCCATGTTAAGGTTTTTATGAAATAACTTCATTGTTTGGATTAATGTGTTATGAATTCTTAGGTACATTTTGTTTTCTGTAATGAATAAAACAGGATCAAAATTCAAAAATTAATTCCATGTAATTTTAGATTATCCAAGCCACTGCTCTTTTTAATTAGCACAGATATTGAAATTTAACTATAGTAATTATTAATATGATACCAAATAATGGAGTCAATGTAGCAAAGAGAATATAGTTTTATGTTACTTTTTGTTTTTATTTTAGATGCAGATTATGTTTTCAACTTTTAACTTTTGACATTGGTTATGGCAGTTTCAGATACCCTGTAGTGCTCCAGGTCAGTATATCAAAGGACTCATGAATGGTATAAGCTTCCACCTTTTGGTGAAGGGTATGTATGCGTGTGTGTTGCTTCACTCATAGTAACCAATCAATAAATAGCAACTGCATCAAAATCACCATAGACTTACATTCAATGTGGTTCACTGAATTATCTAGAATGTGGAAAATCTATGTGTTCCAATTCCCACTATGTGTTCCTGTAAAACACATGAATTTTTCTATGACTCAAGAACTGTTTATGAAATAAGTGTGGTATAAAGCCACATATATGTTAAGGGAGAGAAGTAGATATGTAGATAATAGAAAATAGCAGATTATCCAGTGTATGCTTATGGTGTTATAAAAAATGTAACCTTTATATATAAAGATTTAGTTTAAAATTATTCTATATTTTAATTTGAAAAGCCATGGGAGTTTTGAATTTTTGTTTGTTCTAGTGTAAATATGTATAAATTGAAAAGTATTTCTTGTACACTGTGATTCTTTTCCTTCCTCTCCAATTAAATACACCATTCAGATCATCTCCCTCATAATTTTTTTTCTAAAATAGCCCCTAGTGGCAAAAAGATAGGAAAACAATTGATTTAATTAGTCTATAGAAAGCTGTACTTTGGGATATGAGTGGGAAGAAGGGAAGAGGAACAAAATAAAGTTATGTATAACAAGAATTCAATTTCCTATAGCATCTATTTGTTTTCAAATAATTATACAGGTAAACCACTTACATTATATGTGGCTCAGATATTTGGTTGAATAGCTCTAAAATTTATCCATAAAATTTTGAAACTTTATGAATTGACATATTTTAATAGTTGTTTATTTATTATTTTGCATACATATCTAATAGTTTATATTATGATTTTTTCAATTTATTGTTCAGAAAAAATATTATATATTATCTTTCATGAATGTAAATTCTTTCATGAATATAAATTCATCTTTCATGAATGTAAATTCTCCAACCATAAAAGGTATCAAGATAAGCTAATATGATTTTATAATACATTAGTTTTTTTAATACTGTACATTAAAGAATTATATCTTTAAATTGTATTTTTGAAGAACATTACTCACATTTATAAAGCTGTTGCCCTCCAAAAGGACCACTAGATGTCAGTTCTGATCTACAATCCAACAGGAAATAAATCATGTCTTAGAAGTAATCCCACTGCATTAAAAGTAAGTCAATGAAAAGTATTTACTGTGCTTTTACTCTTTCAAAGGTACATGAGCATTTAAATTTTCAAGATAATGATAATATGGATTTTGAGGACCAAAATACAGAAGAATTCCTTTTAAAAGATACTTTCAATTTTCTCTTCTCTAATGAATTACCGCTTTCTGGGTTTTCTGAGATATTTCAGAGACTTTATAGATCAGATGTGTTTAAGGTAAGTGCATATTTGTGTACTGATAAATATTTTTTCAAGTCATTCCATTTTCCTTATTGTTCAATTAAGCAACTTGGTAATTCATTTGAAATTAATTGGTATCTCTTGTATTATATTTCTTAATTTTTTTCTGACTTGAGGACCAATATTATTTTTATGTCAACTAAGTTTGTGACTGATTATGATGAAATTATGAATTGAAAATGAAGTAAAACAGTTCATAGTTTCATAAAGAATGTGGATATTATGAATAATATATATTCTAGATTACTTTCAAAAGAATATTAAGACTCTTTGGAGGCAGTCTAGAAGAGCAGGGAATGCTTCAAATTGACACCAGAAAACTTGAGTTATGAACTTATTTTTTTAAGCATCCACATCTATTAACATGTTGGGTATATATTGATGAATAGAGTGTAGTGCTTCAGAGTAGCATTGGTTAATTTTTATTGCATGCTAGCATCTCCCCAACCTCACTACCAAAGCATCATTGAGCTATGTCATCCAGGTCCTCCTTATCAAATATGAAGTTTTCTTATATTCAGATAGCATTGTGACAAGTTGAAGTTGCTATGTATTACTTGGCATTAATTAGCTGAGATGTTTATTCAGAGTCCAAAATTTGATTGGTTTATGAAATGGGAGGCAATTGGGCTGAACATAATTTGACTTTTTAACAATTGCTCAAGTTTTCTTTTTCCCCTAACATAGGGTGAAAACGATCAAAAGGAACTAAATCAATGTCTGTCTTTAGAGGAAATCAACTCCATATTCACTTTCATAAAGGAACTTGGGAGTCTGGGACAATTCCAACTGGTAAAACAAAAGTGACATTTGATTCCTCTTTATTACTGAGGTTATATATTGGCCATAAGCTATTTGCTTTTGACTTCAAACTAGATGAAGATATTTCTTTGAGAAATAGAAATCTTTGTAAGCTTCTTTCCTCTTTTCAGAGATGTGATAGTAAGATGAGCAAGATCTGTATGCTTTAAGAGTTTGCAAACAATACATGACTTATTAAAGGTAAAAGGATATGGGATTAGCATAGGTGGCAGGATTTGAAAATTCTCAAGGGGAAAATATCAACATTTTTCTAAAGAAGTTTTGCTTTGAGATTTGGAACATTTACATGCAATCAAAGTTTATTTTTGCTTATTATATACCCTTTTTGTTTGTGGAAAATCAAAAATAATTGAATATAACAATATTTTAGAAAACTACCTAAATCTTAATTAGTTATAACTCCATAGCAGATTTCAAAGAAAGAAAATGTAATTATAATAACTTTTATTGATTCCAACCTTGAAAGAAGGCATTTGTTTTCCATGTATTTTCTTGGGTTCTGTTAATTTATTGGTTAATATGAGAAGACAATTTATTGCATAAGAATGTACATGCTCAGTACTTGCTTTATTTACAATTCTGCTACTTATATAGGCTATAATGAATTTATTTTTCCACCTAAGTTTTCCTCATAGGAATGTCTCTTCAAAATAGCATTTTTAAGGCCCATTAATAATGTATTATTAATCTCATATTTGTCTCAAGCATTTTTTAACTTTAAAAATATCTATTTTTATATAACATATGCTACTTATATAACTTTAGCCAATTTACTAAGTTAATTAATGAATGTTTGACACTTGTTTTTATAATTTGATTCCATATTTTTGAAGGGTTCAAATTAAGCTTATTTCCCCAAAGAAAATTTAATTGACATATAATCATTTTAATGAATTTAAATATATTTAATAGTAGGTTTCAAATTCTCAGCAGTTTGGCTCAATATTGTAGAAAGTTAATCAAAGCCTGGCTTCATCCTTTAGTAATTTGTAACTTAAGATATCATAAATGTTGAGGACATCTATCAGCACAATTTGAGGATGAACTAAAGAATTATTTTGCAGAAGACAAAACCCCAATTTCTTGACTCTCAGAGTAGAAAGAGGATAACCACAGGTTTTCATGTGTGTGAGATAATATTCCTCACCCTGACATAATACTCTTATAGCCCAAAAGGATTTTTCTTCTTCCTGTTGCCTGGTTCATTGTGTTATTCAGCTGTTTTCAGGTGTCTGTAGCAGGAAAGAGAAATCAATTTCTGTTGAAAGAAAACTCACCTCATTTGCAAATATCATCAACATATTTCTTTATAAAAAGTGGTATTTACCTTGACAACTGCACATAAAATTAAATTATGGTACTGACCAATAGGCATTTTAATAAATATCTGATATTTAAAATATTTGACTAGATATAAAACCTTTATTGGTAATATTATATTTTAATTTATTTTCCATAACTTAAGCTGATATCCTGCCTTTGAATATTTCTTCTCAGCTCTTCCCATCCGCTACTCCTGGGATTCAATCTTTGGTGCGTGAATTTTATGATATGGCCAATCTTATGGGAAAACCTGGCTCAGTCCTGACCCAGTACTGGTCTCTTTTAAATATATTTGAACAATTTCGGCTCATGAACATAAAGGCACAGCTACATCCACTGGAATGGTAAGATAGCCACAAATTTGAATTGCACAATCCAAAAAATCTCCAGTCTAAAGATTGGTTTCAAAAGGCTTTGCCTACATTAAAGAAAGCAACAAAAAGAAGTGTGTCCAAATTTTCATGCTCTGGAAAATGAATGTCTTTAAAGCATTGAAACCATAATGATTCTAGTGGTCTTCAAGCACTGTAACAAAAATATATTCAACAGTTTTTCAAACCAACAAGACTTGACTCCACTATAAAGAAATGTTTAAAATTAAAAGTCTCAGTCTCATTTCAATGTATGATACATACCATTGAATTTTTGGGATTATCTAACAGAAAGAATTAGGTGAGATTTGTTTTATGAACCATCAGTCAGAGTGGAAGCCCAATAAAGTTTCTTTATTCTGGGCAAAACCTGTACAAATATTATGTTTTTGTTGTATTTTTTTATGTTAGAAGATAAATATGTTTTTCTTTTTTTAAAGAATACAGAATTTTCTTGGTAAGAAGGAAATGTTTGGGCTGGGATAAAAGTTTCCCATCTCCATCTTCATTCTAACCAGAGGCAGTAGGAGAGAACAGAAGGGAACTGGGACAGGTGAAACACTCATGTCTCTAGTAGTTGGTGAAAAGGGCCAGCACCTAAGGTTTTGTCTGCTTCTCTTTTATATGGACACCATTAAGGGGGTATTTGACTTTTCTACTGCCAGCAAAACAGAGGTAAACCTAGACCTCCCATGGAGATGAAAGGCTAAATGGCCCTGCCATAATCATTAATGTCTCTCCCAGGCTCCCTCAGGAATGGCTTCAGTTCTATCCACTTTTACTTCACTTCCTTCTGCCTCAGGAGACAGTGAAAACAGTTTTGTAATAAACTCTTTGTATAATTAAAAAATATAAATATATTTGAAGAATTCTTAGGACATCTCCCAAGATCAGAACTCAACTTGATTGCCACAACTTTACGAAGTTAGCCTTATTTCCTCAATACCTGGAAGTAGTAGGCCTGGCAGAAGGTTTTGTTTGTTTGTTTGAAAATTAAATTTTAAATAATGTAGCTCAAAGCCACTTTGTTAGTACTTTGCACTCACTCAAATAATCTCAGATTGTCTCATTCATTATTATAGGTAGGCGAAGAGCAGATTTGATTTCCCAAGGAGCCTGTTTCAGTATTGTTTTTTATCTTTGAGGAAGTTCCCTGGAGATATTAAAGCTTTGGAAAGTTTGTTCCCCAGCAAGGTTTTCTCAAGCTCCACATGTGCTGTAAGGTTAAGCAATCCACTGATCTTAAATTTAGAAGATTGAATTCCCTTCCCATAGGAAAATTTAGTAAAGATCAGTTTTGAGTACAGTTAGAAAGAGTCAGGACTTTTTTGAACCATACAGGCTTGGATTAAAAAATCTCAACTTTAATGATGCTTTTCTAACTGTTATCTGGATGGATTTTGTATTCATTATATTCTAGCCTGTAATTTGTTTTTTTTTTTTTTTTTTTTGAGACAGAGTCTCGCTTTGTTGTCCAGGCTAGAGTGAGTGCCGTGGCGTCAGCCTAGCTCACAGCAACCTCAAACTCCTGGGCTCAAGCGATCCTACTGCCTCAGCCTCCCGAGTAGCTGGGACTACAGGCATGTGCCACGATGCCCGGCTAATTTTTTTTTTTATATATATCAGTTGGCCACTTAATTTCTTTGTATTTATAGTAGAGACGGGGTCTCACTCTTGCTCAGGCTGGTTTTGAACTCCTGACCTCGAGCAATCTGCCCGCCTTGGCCTCCCAGAGAGCTAGGATTACAGGCGTGAGCCACCGCGCCCGGCCTCTAGCCTGTAATTTGTATAAATTTATCATCTGTTGTCATTAAAAACGTGTCTGTAATGCCAAAAAAAAAAAAAAAAATCCTAACTTTAGAATTTATTAAGACAAGGTTTTGACCCCTCTGAGATTCAGTTTCTTTATCTGTAAAATATAGATTATACTACCACCCACATATTATTTCAGGATGATCACACAAAGTAACATTCATGTGCTGCATGGTGTCTGGTATGCTGTAGCTCAGGTAGGTAATAAATATCAGTATATGTTCCTTTCCATGTTTCTATGCCATTCAGAGATCACTTTAGCTTCTGTAGCAGGGACAATTTTTTTTTCTTTATAGGAAAAGCAAGATGAGTTTCAGAGACCTAACTTAACACTGAGACAAGTAAACTTTAGCTGTTTGTCAAGAAGCAATTAATATATTGCTAATTTTCATTTTCTTTTCAAGAAAAAAATAATTCCAATTTCTTTAAGTTTACCAGTGAATGCATTTAATTATCATTCATGGCATATTGCAAGGGAGATGCATATTACACACGTTTTCCAGATGAGGGAACTGAGGTACTAAGAAGATGGGTTGTTTGCTTAAGTTGCACAACTAATACAAATAGAATTGGGATGAGAACCCTGGGCTTTGTTATCATGGTTTAGTGTTTTCTTCCAGTACATCATGTGGACAAGGAGGTCAGCACTGCCCTTTTCTTCACAGTGGGCACCTCCAGTCTTTTCTGTAGAAAACGTCAATGTTATATACCTCCCCTACCTATGGCGTTCAATGACTTCATCTTGTTTTTAAATAAAGATCATCTGCTTGTATTAAAAGCAACAGAGTGAAGAAAGAGAAAGTCAGAAAAGCATGACAGAAGTAGGTAATGGCCATGTGTGTGCCCTGAGGTTCAAAATACAGAGATCTCAACAGAATTAGTATAAATCTGAAAAGAATGAAAATCTTAAAATCAATGTTTGTGTACCATGTACTGATTTTTACTGTACTGGAAATAAACTTTTATGTGTACTTTGCTCTAAGGAACTGCTTTCCATGAAAATCCACTTGGATTTGAAACAAATCATATTTTCACAAAAGTACACAGGAAATCACTGCAGGATGCCTTAACATAAAAAGTTTCTCATCCCATTAAGATAGCAATGTTTCCAAAATTCAGTTTCTATACATTTTAGGGTTGTATCCTTGGCAAGATTTATCTGGCATAAAGACTTTTAAATATAAAACTGCAATAAAATAGTTACACTTTCCAATCTTGACAATATTTTCAATTCCTTGCTTCTTGATTTCCTATCTGATGTTTATAGTTTGAAGGAATCTAATATGCCTTTTTCATCTCTTCTCTATTATAGTGCCCAGCTATAATATAGTGCCCAGCTATAATATATATGGGGCAATAAATATTTATAAAATGTTATTTAACAAAGACAAATGTAATTATTAATAATTCTCAGAGCATCCCTGTGAGGTAAGGCAAGTATTGTTATTGCCATTTTGCTGGGGCGAAGATGAAGACTTGCACCAGCACAGGGAAGTTGTGTCAGGGGCTTACAGGCCATCATGCCTGGTATTTTTCATCATCAATACCAGGAATTTTTCTGTCCACAATTTAGATTATTTTGGACCCAAATTTAAGGATTTAAAGGGTAATCTGGCAAACCATTTAGTTATACAACAGAGAAAATGAGGTGAACACACCAGAATATAACTCATTCTTACCATTCACTCCTGTTAATCAGAGTTCAAGGATGGAAGCCTTGGAAAAACATAGGTCATGGTCATTGTAGTACACTTATATTTCTTCAATTTAAATGTATTTTCTTCCCAGGCTGTGTCCAGAGTTTCCAAGGCTTCTTGCTACAAAACTATGTAACTTCAGCCAAACAGATTCCAATGAGAATGTGTGTTCTTGAATCACATCTATTAGACCCAGGCTATCCAAGATTCTTCAGTTTTGGACTGAAGTTTGACTTTTTGCCCTGGTTTTCTTCAAATGTGCTTCTACTGATTAGAGATGATGAGATTTCCACCCACCTCATTTGAGGCTAGATTGCCATTTTTGAGAAATGAAATCCAGAAAGCGTTTCTTTGTGTTTATCAAAAAAACTGTGCCCATACAGAAGAAAAGATAGTGTGTTAGATGTAATTTCCATGTGTTTTGTTCATTTCATTAATCCAGAGTCATTTGGCATTGCATTTGCAGGAATTCTTTCACAGACAATGAGAACATTGAAAAACCACAAGTGCCATTTGACGCAATAGGAAATAAAAAAGGTAAAAGGGATATATTCCCACTTATTTCAACATAAAAATAAATATTGCCTGGCCAAGTAATTATATACAAAATGTTTAGCTTCATTAGCAACCAAAAATGAAAATTAAACAAAGAAATGCTATATTCTTTAAAATTTGGAAAGGTTTTTCTTCTTGGAGATAATAGAGCTTGGGGATCCAGTAATCCCACTACTGGGTATATATCCAAAGAATATGAAATTAGTATGTCAAAGAGGTATCTGTATTCCCACATTAACTGCAGCACTACACACAATAGCCAAGACATCAACCTAAGTGTCCATCAGTGGTTGAATGGAAAAAGCAAATGTGCTATATACACTAGGGAATACTATACATATACACAATGGAATACTATTTGACCATAAAAAAATAAAATCCTATCATTTGCAACAATATAGATAAACCTGGAGGATATTTTATTAAGTGAAGTAAACCAGACACAGAAACACAAATACTGTATGATTTCATTCATGTGGAAGCTAAAAATAAGTTGCTCTCATAGAAGTAGAGAGTGGTTACCAGTATTCTTTTCTCACAGAGAGTAGAATACTGTGTTTCCCCCAAAATAAGACCTACCCATAAAATAAGACCTACCCATAAAATAAGCTCTAGCAGGATTTGTAAGCATTTGCGCAATATAAGCCCTACCCTGAAAATAAGACCTAGTGATGGGCGTGGCTATGCAGTGTATATACACAACCCATGCATTTCGTCGTGGAGCAGTAAAGAGCAGTAAAGAAGCAGCCCTTCTCATCTGCCCCATGAGAGCTCTATTACTTGACATGAGAGATTGGGGCCAATGGTTCTAAAGGAAATAGAGTTTCAAGAAATTCAGGATGGAATTCAGGGTTTGGAGAGTTATGATGATGCTCCAGAAGACGATTTAACTATATTTGAATAAATGTAGATTGTTGTACCGTACTTAAAAATAATAACACATCCCCTGAAAGTAAGCCTTAGGGTGTCTTCTTGAGGAAAAACAAATATAAGACCCTGTCTTATTTTTGGAGAAACACGGTAGTGGTTACTAGAGGATGGTGAGGGTAGGGGGTATCGGAGGAAGGGAGCGGTAGAGGTTGCTTATAGTTAGATAGGAGGAATAAATTCTGGCTTTCTAATACACAGTAGGGTGACTAATGTTAACAAGAGGATTTTGGATGATCTCACCACAAACAAACAATAAATGTTTGAGGTGATGGCTATGCCAATTACTCAGATTTGATCATTACACAAAGTATATATCTATATCAAAATATTACATTGTACCCTATAAATATATACTGTTATTATGTGTCAATTAAAAGTAGAGTAAAACTTTAAAAAGAGATAGGAGAATTGGGGAGAGGGTAAGGAAATGAGTATTCTCATAGTACTGCTGATTGTATAAATTAAAACAACCTTTATTAAGGGGCCATTTAACAATATATTAGAAATGCTTTAAAGCTATTCTTACAGGCCATAAATTTCACTTCTAGGTATTCATTTTAAGGAAATAATTAGGAATGTATACAAAAATTTAATTACATTATTAATAAATGAAAAAATTAGTAACTACTGCTATTGCAATAAAAGTGGGCTGAACACATAAATTAAGCTATAGCCATCCAATAAAATGCTATAAAGCCATTCTTATGTCATGGAAAAATATTTATTTTTATTTTTTATTTTTTTATTTCAGAATATTATGGGGATACACATGTTTGGGTTACATAATTTGCTTTTGTACAGTTTGAGTCAAAGTTATAACTGTGCCCTTCACCCAGATAGTGTGCATCGTACACTATCTGGGTAAATGTGAATGTACCCATCCTCTCCTCCCCCCCACCTGCTTGATTTCCCTTGAGTTTTACTTCCATAGGTGCACATAAGTGTTGACCAGAAAAATATTTATGACATGAAAGATGTTTGTGATGTAAACATTGCAATTGGCTACTACAACATGATGCTCAAGGAAAATTAATGGTGATTTTGATTTCCCCTCCTTGGTTTATCTCTATTTTCTCATTTTTTTCCCTTCTAAAAAATATCTTTTCATCATAAGAATAATTTTTTTCTCATTTTAAGAAGAAAAAAATGAAAAGAAGTACCCACTCATATGTCTATAATTTTTTTAAAAGATCAAAGTTTTCCAATTACAAATCAGGATTTAGTCCAATACAGTGGTTCTCAGTGTGTGGGCCCCCCCTCAATATCCAGCAGCAATAGCAACACCTGGAAAACTTGGAAGTTCCAATCTACTAAATTAGAATTTGTATTTTAACAAGCCCTTAGGATGATTCTGAGACATTCTGGAGTTAAGAATCACTAATTCAACAAAATGACTCAGTAGGCCCAATGAACAACTGATGAGAAATTGCCTTTCTCTAACACTTTTTAAATCTTTAAATGAATGATGTAAGCACTTGGGGTGTTTTTATTCATTCATTTGTTCCATAAATATTTACTAATAGAGGTTTGGTTGAACTCAGAAACTTACAGTAAGTATTACAGTAAGTATTAGTGGAACCAACTGGGTAGAATTTCTGTAATTCTAATGATGTGGGATATTATAGCCCTAGGATTATAGAACTAGACGAAAACTAGATAGATCACCTTTGGGCAAAGGATGGCATTTAGACCATTAATTTCCTCCCTTAATATTTTTCTATTTGAAATAATCATTCTTCTGAGCTTTGAATTAAATGATTTATTTTGTTTTATTGTAGTTTTCAGTTTCACTTAGAAGTGCTTACTGGTGTAATAAAAGTTAAGTAATAAAATGTGTTTTGTTAAATTATCTCATATTTGACATAACTAAATATGTATTTAAAATTTTTGATTTATAGTTTTTATTTTAAATTTACATTTCTTTTTTTAGCTGCAGTTCCACAAATTAGGAATGAAAATAAAGAAATACATTGCAGTAATGGTGAGTTGGGGTTCAAGTGTTTCAGCAGTGTAATTAACAGTTAGGTACATCCAGCCCTGCTTTGAAAAAAAAAAAGCATCATTTTATTATATTCGGGTATCTTTAAGCTGCTAATTTGTTTTAAGTAAATTTTCAGAAATTATTAGATATCTGATTGAGTCAGTATCTATCACTTTTTGTGTAAGAACATTTTTAATTTCCTGTTTTTCAATTTATTTTTTAAATTTCATGATTTGTTTTACAAAGGTATAATAAGGTAATATATATACATTTTAAATCTATATAAACTTTAAGTAAGTTTCCTTATTCCATTCAATATTATTACCAAGGTCTTGCAAATACATCATTCTAGAGGTTCTGACTTTTCCAAGGTCACAAGGCTATTAAATTCCTGAGCTGAATCATGAAGCTGGATCTTCAGATTCTTTGTTCAAAGCACTTGAATTTTCATAATATACCATAAAATATCATAGAAAAATAAGAGTTCTACTTAGCCAGTTTTTTTTTTTTTACAGTGTGTACTTTAAAAAATATATATGCATATATTTGGTGCTAAAACATGCACTTAGAAAATTTAGGTTTTCACAAATAAAAAAATCAATTCTATTAAAATATTGAAGCTGAAAAAATAAAATGTATAGACTTAAGCTTAATTTATTTTAGATGGAAGTCTTCTAATTTAATAAAATCTAATTTATCCCTTCTAAAATGCAATTTAATTCATTCATGATGTTTAAACATTATTGTTAAAACCAGGGTAGACTGAGAAGTTATATAATAATATAGTTTAATAAAATTAAGAAATACACCCAATTAAAAAAAATACCATTTTAAATAAAGTATTACTAATAGGGAAAAGATAACAGGTATTACTTATGTCCTTCCCTCCCCACACTTACCGCCTAATTTCTACCCCTAGAAAAATACGTGCTACTCCGTTCTTCTGGGAGACAGTTGCCTGGAGCATGGTGGGAAAAGTACTAGAGAGAAAAGTAGGAACAAAATTAGTATGAATATTTATTGAGAGTCTACTTAGTGCCAGGTCCTGGGCTAGATGCAGCATCAGGAAAGCCACTTCACCTCTGTGGGCTTCTATTTTCTCATTTGGAAAATTAAAGGATTGCATTAGATGATCTCATTTTTCAGTTCTCAGGTAATATAGTATAGATGATACAAACATCTTAGATAAGCCCTTCAACTTTGTTCATGTTGTTATGTTGACAAAAACTAGTCCTACCTGGATCTTCATAATTAATCTTCCTACTTTTATGGTATGATATAAGATTTAAAAAAATAACTTGATGATGTCTCAGAACAGGTAGGATTATCTTTAAGAGTCTAGGCCGTTCTTGTGTTTAATATGAGTTATGATTATCCCTCAAGAGGGCAATAAAATTCTGCGGTTAAAAGAAATCCATTAAAAGCAACCAAAACTTCAAACAGCTTTCCCATATATACTTGCCAAATAGGTTAAACGGCCTGCTACCATCATACCTCACGCTGGTTCTCCGCAGATCTAAGGTAAGCTGGCCTGAGACAAGTTGAGACTGGGTTGGGAAGGATGCCAAGGAAACGCCAGGTGTTTGTAGGCAGCAACACTGGTGATTCAGCTGAAGATGATGTCAGAACTAAATCAGCTTTCAAACAGGGGTTTAGGATATAGTGCTCAAGCCAGAGGTGGAGAGTTTCTGATGAAACCAAAAATAAGCACTTGCTACAATCTTGCTTAAGAAAATGATTGCACATTTATTTCATATCATCTAGGGCTGAGTTTCAGTTTATGATGGGGGCAAGCCCCACTGAAAATCGTGACTATTAAGTGAAAGTGTAAACTGCAGAGAAATTAACTCTCAGTGAGTCTTTATTTAAAAATATGTCCTGTTAAGTTAAAGTACAGCTTCTATGTTTTATTTTGAAAAATGCTGTACCACTTTTTTATTCATTTAGCTAGTTCTGAGCATAAAAGTATAGTGCAAGTGTTTATATTCCCTCTGTGCCTAGGCAATGGTCCTCTCCATACACAGTTCATAAACCAACTCCAGTTTGTTTAGCATTATTATGTTGGGTTTGCAGCATCTATATCAAATCGCATAACTAATAATATCCTGGTCTTACTGGGCTTATCTCAGTGCCTTGAACATAGAAAATTTTGGAAAAAAACTTTGATGAAAAACTGATTGTTCCGTTAATAGGAGATTGAATTCAAATTGAAAACCATGGTCCTTTTCAGGATGAGTTTTGATGAGACAATTTCTGCTCTTGTTCTTTTATTGTTTTTCTTTTTTATTGTAAGAAAATTTCAGGAGCTTATATGATCATTGAAATTATAGATGCACTCCATCTACATGTATCAACCAGATAAAATATTTGTTTGACCTTTATGTCAAGTAACAAGTAAAATTAATCAACCTGATAGTTTACCTAATTCACTGAGCTATTTAACTAAATTAACTAGTTGTTTGTTTTTCTAAAGACTTTTCCCTAAAATAAAATTACAATATATCTATTGTATTATTATTCTTTATTTATTCCTGAATGACTTTTTTCCTTCGATAGCCTGAGAAAACCATAGAGTGTGGGTCAGAAGTATATATATATATATATATATATATTTTCATTTTAATTGTTTTAGTGCATGACGAAAGCTATACTGAGACCTAGTCCTCAGAACTAGAATAAATCATCAATGTGTTTGGTGGTATCCATTGCCATGGATTTGGTGGTGCATCTCCATGTTCATCAAAGAAATATAAAAATTTTGGTCTTGCTGAAGCACAAAGTTCAGAACATAATGGGAGATGCAACTGGAGAGCAAGACAAGAAAAGGCTTGTGATATGCCCTATCTGCCCTGCTAGGAGCTTGGACTTGACTCTCAAAGTGATAAGAAACCACTAAAAAACTAAAGACAAATGATCAGATTTGATTTCAGAAAAATCATTATTATAGCTGTATAAAAGTAGAGGAAGAGACAACAGTTAGTAGAATAATCTTTCTCTAGGCTCAGTTTTAGAGCTTCCTGTGGTGAATTCCAGGTTATCCTTTCTGTCGCTATGTTATTAGACATCACTGAACATTTTATGTAAAGACAATGCAAAGATATTTTCATTTTACTGATTTCTGTAGAATTTTCTATGGTTTTTTGTTGACATTTTGTTGATTATTGAAAAGTATTGATGGAACAAAATGCTTGTGGATATTCGAAATACATTTTGTCAAGCTGTTGATTAATTTGTTTATTCTAAACATTAACATTCAGCATAATTTTGCAGTGATTGGTGTATGTACTTCTAAAGCTATTTTTCTTTTTTCTCACCAAGATACAGCCATAAACATTGGGCTACCAAAGGGAAAGTTTTTTGAATGCCTTAGAATTAATGTAATATTCTAGATTCTATAACAGGATTGAGCAGAATATAGTATTTCCTTCTTACACGTTGTGGTGTATTTCCAGGTTGAGGTGAACTGGGAGGGGAAGGGTTTCACAATGCCCTTGTTGTTGTTTTTGTATCTGAGTATTTGGTATAATATTGGAGTTTACATTCTTTGCCCCACCCTACTGCATATAAGATATATCAATCAAATGGCAGTTTAATGACACTTCCCTCTGAGCAATTTTCCTTATCTCCTAGTTTCCTCTGCTACCACCCCAAAGAGCCATCACCCCCATTTACACAGTTACTGGATATATGCAGTAAATATCATGATGTTTTCAATCCACAGGAGAGACACTTTTCCCACTTTCTGTGCCTTTAAACTTTCAAGGGCTGAGCAAAAAATTCCATCTGTATAACACTAACTAAAGTCAACAGCTGTTCTAGGAGGCAAATGCTACAAGATTTGACAAATCGAAAATCTAGCTGAAGCCACAAACCAGCTATGACCAGGGTGCTGAATGGACAGTCAGTAGTGATCACTGAAGTTGTTCAAAGGAATTAGAAACATAAAACACCTTAATCATATATGATTTTAAAATGCTTATCCATTTCACAGTTGTCTTTTGTCATTATTTTTGTGTTTATTTTTTAACAGATAAAAACACACCATGTCATATTAAGCAGATCTTCACACATCCACATTTGGAGCTTAACCCTGAATTTAATCTGCAGATCAAAGATTATTATGCTGAAGTCCCATTTGATGTGGTAACAGTGACAATTGGAGTGGAGACTTCTAACTGTCAGTGCAAAGTGCACCTGTATGAACAGGCTGGGCCAAGGTATGGGGACGCTGACAAGCTGCGTTGAGACAGCATACAAGAAGCAGACATTGGATGCAACCTTTGAAAGTGGTTCAGAAAAACAGATTCATTAGATCAATTGAGAAATTGCCAGTGTGTGAAATTTCCCCTTCTCAGGTGTTATGTAGCTTAATTGAACACATTGGTGCTTTACTGATTTATTAGCAATCTTAGTAACTGATATTTGTAACAGTGTTGTAACAAGAGAAAATCTCATTCTCAAATAATTGAGAACACCCATCAAGGAAAAATTTTGCTTATTGTTGTCTTAATGTTTTTAGATTATTGAAGAGTTAAAGTTTTTGAGTATTGAAAAGTTGATTGCTTAATAAACATGTTGGTGACAATATGTGGAAATAATACAATTAACTTTCCTAGTCTTACTGGGATTTTTTTCAGTTGATTCTTTTGAAAGTAACCAACTCTTTTGTTTGGAATTTTGAACAGAATTTTGAACATGCCATATCCATAGCAGAGAAAAGACTCATGGTTCCCTGCTATAGGGAAGGAAATACACTTGGCCTCCCAGGAGCCAAGAGAATCTAGTAGAAAGAAAAGGGGAGTCAAGTCAGAGCAACCTAGGTTCCAACCCTGACTCTTCTATAAGACTTTGGGCAATTTGTTTACCAATTCTATGTCATGGTTTCTATAGTTAAAATAGGGACTGTCATAGTTGCTGTATTAAGTGAGATAATATATAACCTGGACAATAGGTGATTAATAAATAATAGTTTCTTTCCCTGCAGTTAATAGAGGAAATGACTTGTTCTGTGAGATGAATCTTGGCATAGCAAAGTACTGTAAAACAGAGGTTTAATTTTTTTTACATATTTTAGATTTCTTATGAAATTATACAGACCTTACTTGTTTTTTATGCAAATAATAGGTATTTAATGAATATTGATGTTATGAATCAGTTTGGGCTATAAATGTCCCCTATTCATTCTCTCTCTTTCTCTCTCTAGCTTTGCCAACTACCCTCTAGGCTTAGGAATGAACAAAATCTCAATATTTGTGGTGGATGAATCTCCAGCACAGGGTGAGACCCTGGTCACTTACAAACTCACCATCTATAGAGAAGACCGCCCAAGTCTGCCCTTGTTTGAGGACTTCACAGCATGTGGTTTTGTGCAGGTAAGTGGCTTTTATAATTGCACTTGTGTTGAATTAGGAATGATCTGTTAACCCAGGTGAAAAATTCCAAATGGAAATTATTACAAGAAATTATGTGGTTTTAAATCTAAAATGTGTTCTCATTTCAAAGGAGCAAGTGCCCCAGCGAGGTATCTAAGGCACCTCATTGTGAGCGGTTTTCTTTTTAGTATGATGGCTCCTCCCTGCACTCATTGTATTCAGTGGATTTATTGTGGTTAATATTTGAAAAAATGTCTGAGTACTCACACTTAGTTGTGAAATCGGTTTCACATTTCCCCTTTAAATTGTGCTGTTTTTCTTGGATTTGTCCCTGGATCTACTTTTGAAATCTTAGACTAGATTTAGTGGAATTTCTTTTAAGGAATGAAAAGAAAATTTATGAAACTATTTTACAGAAGGGATACTGGATAAATGAAACCAAATTGGTTTGGGATAGATACATTTGTCATTTGCTTTTCATACCTTAACCATTCTGCAAGGCTGTAGTTTCTCTTGTGAGCAACACATACCATTTTGTTGCCTTGACTGATTTTGGAGAAAGGTGAATGTTACCTTGAGACTTTGTCTAGTCTGATGGTTCTCCCTGGTTTTTTTTTTTTTTTTTTTTTTTTTGCCTTTTTAAGGATCATATGTATAACCTTCCACATTTCCTCACACCCTATACCCTCATTACAGATGATTCCAGGGAAGTAGTAATTGGTATTCTTACCATATATCTACTAATTCACTCACAAAGTATATCTGCAAATATGTCATGTCAAATTATATGCTACTGGGAGCTTTGAAGCAAAGAGAGTTAGTAAAAGAGAGGTATGGCCAACTAGGCTTTGGTGGGTAGTATGAACATCATATTTTTTATAAATTTAATATCCAGGCACACTATTAAATTTTATAAATTTAATGGCCAGCCCACCACTGCCATTATCTCATCTATTCCCAAGAGCTTAATACTATTTCATAAGCATACTCCTCCCTAAGGTTTTTATTTTTCAAGGAAACACATATCTCTAATTTATGAATTACTACTAAATCAAAGGGAATTTCACATTGGTCTAAAGATTGGATCAAAGCAAGACAAAAAGTTATTCTAAAAGATATTAGGATGTGCTTAAAAAAAGAATAGAGTAGGGTTCCATGGTCAAATAGGTTTATGAAGCAGTGAGTTAAACAAAATTAGGAAGTTTCTTTACTGTAGGATTTTTTGAACCTCTAATATACTAATTTGAATGGTGACCCCTTTATAGTGTTGTGAATATATAGTGTGCTGCATTTTCAAATTTATTAGAGGCTGTTTTAATAGAAGAGCTATAATATTTATTTTGTGGAATACAGTTGAGGAAACACTGGTCTAGACTATGGAGAAGGCTTCACAATATGTTCCTCTCAATTTTCCACTTTTCAATTTGCTTTATTTGGATTGCTATGTCTCAGTATTTTTCTGAACTGGAAAACAAAAAAATAGAGCACCTGAAAATGTTTTAAAAAATGAACAAAAACCTAGAGAGACCTGTGTTTTTGTTTAGGTGTGTAGTTTGTATGTATATAATTATTTCCAAACTAAATGTTCTCACCTTTTTTGTTGGAGCAATTTTCATTCATGCATTGATGGTGGAAGTGTGAAGTATTTGACACTTTGGAGAACTTTGGTAATATCCACTAAAGCTAAATGTATATATATTTTTCCATGATTTAACTGTCCTCCTAGCTATACACCCAAGAAACATGAAGCATATGTCTGTCCATCAAAAGACACATACAAAAAAGTCTTCATACCAGTTTTGTTCATAGTAGCTAAAATCTTAAAGCAGTTCAAAAGGAAAGGAGATAAATCTAACACTAATGAGACATTTGAAAATAAAATTACTGATACACACAATCATGGAAGAATCTTCAAAGCATTATATTGATAAAAACCAGCCAGACACATAAAGACATACTGTATTTCATTCATATGAAGTTTAAGAGCAGGCAAAACTAATCTATGGTGATAGAAATCAAAATAGTGGTTACCTAGAAGGTATCGGTAACTTTTAAGGAAAGCATGAGGAAACTTTTTGGGCAAATGTTCTACATCTTGATCTGGGTGGTGGTTATGTATAAAACCAGATGTTGTATAGAGATATAAAAATTTAATTAACTGTGCACTTAAGATTTGTGCAATACTGTATATAAATTATGTAATACATAAAATATGCACATATATTTGCATATATAAAATATTTATACTGCATATAAATTATACCTCAACAAAGTAAGAGAAAAGCATTAGTGAGAAAGTATGTATTGTTATCTTCCATGGCATGCTTCTCTTCTCCAATATTATATTGATCAGAAACAAGTTAATTATCATGCAGTTACCTTAGAGAATATATATTAGAAATTTGTTACTGTAATATCAAGAAAAATATTAGAAAATTCTTGTGGGCAGAATCATACAGGTGATTGCAGAAAAGTATGTTAGTCATTTATGAGAGTCCTTTCCAGAAGGTCTTAATTTAAAGTTTATGTGTGGTCCCACAATAAGTACCATATTTTATAACATGGAAAGTGTTTAATAAGCACTAGTACTTTTTAGAAAGTGTCAAATGAGGGAACAGATAAATGTGGCATGAATAACATAAATTGCTTTAGACACTTAATTAGGCATGAGTGACCTCATGAACGGGAAAAGTCAACAGAAAAGGTAGGATTTTCTCCCCATAAACTCCACTTAAAATTCTGATCCAGAGACCTTTCTCTTATTTCTCTTTTATGTTTAATCTCATTAGGGTCTTTAGGTATCACTGCAAGCTGATACCATGACAAAGGTTATAATACAAAGAAAGAGTGAGGGATAAAATTTCTAATCTCCTATCAATTTTCAAGTATTTGAGATTTCCAAATTAGGTTAGTAGCTAGGCAGATACACATCATGAGACTTAAAAACTTCCAATTTTCCAAACTGTTCTTTTTCTTTTCTGTCAACAACCATAGTGCCCTTATTATTAATGTATTCTTAGAACTGAAGTCTTGTCTCCAACTATTACAGATTAAATGATGGGCTGTTCTATTTGAATCCCCAAAGCCTATACATGTGAACCTAAAAGGAAATGAATTAAACTTTACTTATATTTCATTTATTAGTTAAGGGGTGGGGAGATTACAATTTCTCCTTACATTTCAAATTAGATTTTGGTCTAATAGACTCCATTATTAAATTTTAAATAAACATTTTCTTGGTCCATTTGTGCTGCTATAACAAAATATCTAAGACTGAGTAACTCATAAAGAACAGAAATGTATTTCTTACAGTTCTGGAGGTTGGGAAGTCCAAAATTGAGATGCCATCATTTGGTGTCCGGTGAGGGCCTTCTTGCTGCATCCTCATATGGTGGAAGGATCAAAGAGGGCAAAAGGCACTAATGATTTAATTATGTCCTAAAAGGCTCCACCTCTTAATACTACCACAATAGGGATTAAGTTTCAACACATGAATTTTGGGGGACATTCAGACCATAGCAAAGACAAAAGGCCATCCAACTTCAAACAACGAAAGAAGTAAAATCCAATTTAAGATTAACCAAGCCCCCTAATTTCTCCTTCCCCCATTCTTTTACCTTCTGGGAATCAACTATTCATTTTATCTCTTCACCAAAAGACTTACAGGGAAGAGAAAGCAAAGATAAAACACACCAGTCAATTAAAAAATCAATTACTATGACATTTTGGTAAATAATAAGATAATTTAATTAATTTGTTAATAGACATTCTGTGTCATTTATGCTGTCAAATACTATTAAGTTCTTACTTAGCCATAATGAACTATTTGAGCTTATTTGATGCCTATATTCCAATTATTCTCTTGATAATTGGAATTTGTGTATGGTTGCCACAGAGGCAACTCTTAGTTTAGTTTTACCAGTGAAAGAGATAGAGCTAATTTACATAACTGATATAAAATAACCAGATTGAAGACAGGGTGTCTCAACCTCAGCACTACTGGTATTTGGAGCTGGATAATTCTTTGTTCTGGGAAGTTATCCTGTGCGTTGTGGGATGTTCAACAGCACTCTTGGCCTCTGTCCACTAGATTCCTATAGTGTACCACCTTTCCAAGATGTGACAATCAAAAGTGTCTCCAAATATTGCCAAATATCCCCTGAGGGACAAAATCAACTCTGATTGAGAACCACTAATGTAGACAAATAGGAATTTCTGCCTTTCTACTGTCCTGTATGTTTACTAGAAGTGTGAATAATTTAGAAATAATCTTTCAGTGTTATGTGTTGGAGAACCACTCTATCTTTTTTCATCTTTGTAATTTTAGTAATTTTTATAGACAGTGATACTATTCTGATAGCTCTTTATTCTACCCATCTGCCATCTTATCTGTCCAATATAATTATTATAATCAGAAATATGCATTCAATTATAGAAAACATGATTCTTAATGAAACATAAAAACATCATATAATATGGTCAGATTGTTATTTCATTTTGATTTACCCATAAGTAGTATAATGTTTTGCTGTTAGGAAGAAAGATTTAGAAAGTAATAAAATATTATTTTGGCTATAATATGTCATGTTTAGGAATTAATAAAATATATTTATGTGATAAGGAAATTAGAATATGTATAGGGAAATATTTATTTTACTATCCATTTTCAAATCAAATTTTTTTGACATGGATAACAATATAACATCCACAGAAGTTGATTTATATAGATGATCTATGGCCTTGTATACATTTTACCCCCAAAGTGTTGTGCCAGAATAGAGCCATAAATAAAAAGCTACAGAAAGGTCACAGAGCTTAAACTTAGGAAACTATGCTTCATGGATCTATTTGTTAGAAACAGCTTTCATTTTAAAATGGATTATAATTCACAAAGGGAAAATAACAAGGAAAGAGAAAATAGTATTTTCTAAAACAGATTTATCTGGCATTTAGCTACACATTTAAAATGGCACTTGCTGCTTTCTTTTAAAAAATTAATT